TGCTAATTCATGAAATATTATTTACTTTGTAACTTTTATGTTCTGTCGGACAGTATTTAAATGATTCTATCTTGAGTTTTCAAAAATACGTTGTTGAAAACAAGGATATTTAAATAAATAATTCATAACTTCATTGTACTTAATTATGATATAAATATTAATCTTATTGATTCCATATAATGTTTAGTTTTAATTCGATACTGTTATCATTTTCTAAATTTCAGATTTATGCTTTATTAGATATTTACGAGTTTTAATACAGCAAAAGATTAAGAGATATAACAAAATACGAAAAATTTCAAAATAGTCAAAATTGTAATGATAATTCGAAACAAAATAATTTTTCATTCAATCTTCCATAATAATATTGATTTTTTAATAAATAAAAACACATTTTTAATTATTTTTTTTTTTAAAAATTCAAATATTTACGAATCTTTTTCGAATTAGTATACATGTACGAAAAGCTTTCACTTTTAGACGAAATATGAATGTTTCAAAAGTAACAAGTGCCCTATGGATAACTAATTTTTGTGAATTCTTTATGTAGTGTAGACTCGACAAAAGCGCATGAAAAAGTAAGATAAATAAAAATAAAAAAAATAGTTCACGTAATATTTCCACACGTAGCACCATTTATAATTTTTCTACGTCTGGACGTGATCAAGCAAGGCAAAAAGGAATGGGGGAGGGAAAAAAAAGAAAAAAAAAGAAAAAAAAATTCAAAATACATGCATATTCCCATAGACCTGGAAGAGCAGTCACGTCGGAAGCCATGCCCGGCAGATACATATTTATTTCGAACGGAAATCCGTGAAGTCCAGCCGCTGTCGCTCGTACGTCATGTCTCGGGATGCAACCGAGAACAACCGTCACGACGAGCACACGTACGAAATGCCGTATATTTATGATCCCACGCCGTGTGCAAAGGGTTGACATGACTATTACTACGTTATCGTTAATTACTTCTAATCCGATTCGAAATTCGAAAAGGATTGAAATTTTTTCGAGGAAATTGTTTGAAACGAATTGTTTGTGCAAGTATTTTATCGAATTTTTGGAAAGAGATCACTTGAGATAACAGTTATTGTTAAAATATTACGTATTATTAATTTATTTCAAGTTTATTTAACTTCAATATTTTATTTTCAATAAGATATACAAATTCTCAAATCGATTTAAACTCCTCTTATTACAACGCTTATTATTGATTTGAAAAAAGGATTAAAATTAAACGTAAACGAAAGATCAATTCTTAATCCACGTTCAATCTATAAGATCTATGAAACGCGTAATGTTTCTTCGACAAACACATGTATAAATAAAATAATTTCAAAGAAAATTTCAAATCAACCAAATTCCGAACAATTTCATCCCGTTCGACATTTTAAATCGCATTTATTTCGTTATTTCTCATTCCCGTCTCTCTTTTGGCTACGAGAAGTATACGAGAAACGAATGTATACGAATAGGAGAGAAAAAAAAAAAAGAAAAAAAAGGGCGAGGGGAATCGAAGCCGAGAGGAGACGAAGGACAAAAGGTAGGCGCGGATGAAGTAGAGGCGTGCGTATGATAGAAAAGGAGAAAAAGGAATGAAAAGAAAAAAATATTCGCGCAAGAGAGGGGTCGATCAGCGATCCCCCCACAGCGTGGGGAGCGTTTACCCTCTGTCGTGCTACCACCCCCTCGTGTCGATGTCACGAGAATAACGAGTGTCGTGGTGCAGACTGCATTAGTACGGGGGGATGCTAAAAAATAACGACGGAAGAGGGAGTGGATGGAGAGTGGCGGACCTGATCGATATCACCTGATACATTGTTTTCGGATAAGAAACGAGTAGCATATCGCGCATATCGATGAAATAGCGCCTTGTACCTTTGTCCATGACACATATTTGATATATCGGGTGACATATGGTTGTTTAAACGTATAGAGGAGCGCATAAATGATAAATTTAATCCAGTTTTTGTCTTACGTAAACGCGAGTGAACATTTTCTTAGTCAGTTGTATACGAAGTATTTCTTTCTCTTCGTCAAGATTTTACAAAGATAGATTCTTGCAAATGTTTACGCGATGAAATGATTAATAAGAGCCGGTTTGATGGAATTGATGTTTATTGATGGAATAGTAGCAGCAGTAATCGGTGTAATGGATGAATTGTTGTGTAACGTGTGACAGTGGTGGGTGAGTGTCGCGCGTGATGGATAGAGTTGTCCGACTACGATCGGAATTATTAGTATCTCCCATGTGTGTGACACGGCGGTGATCCATTTCTACTTTGTTTATTTTTTTGTTTGATATTTTTAAGATTCGTGCAAATATATGGATTGCAGAGTAATTTATTTATTTATTTTTTCCCCCCTTTTTGATCGAGGCTAATATACACTTTGCGTTGTCTAATGTTTTATAAATAAATATCTTTCAATTTCAATTTATATAATAAATAGATTCGACGATTGAAGATATTTGCGATATATCTTTTTTCCATTTTGAACAGATTTTTCCAGTTGACATTGATAGGTATAAATTATAGGTGAATCAACTCGTTCGTTTACAGCATTCGTTGCTCCAATTCAGACGTATCGTTCATTATGGACGTGTAAATTGAACGCGATAGATTTTCTACGATACGCAAAATTTATTTTACATCAAAATTATTGATTTTGGAATCCGTATTAATTCAACAATTTATTCCCCGTTTTAAACAGGCATTATTACTATTATTATACCCTTTAAAATCTTACAATTAAATTTCGTTTTAACAAAATCCTCTGCATAAGCAGTTTATATTACCTCGAACAGTAAATACTCGAATTATCGATTCAATCATCCCCAATGAATAAGATTAACTCATTCTCATCATATCTATTATTATTCCGTATATCGTTTCGAAGAATTTATACCATTTACACCTGACAATTAAAAATTAAGAAATAAAAAATATGCCAATATTAACATTAGGTAAACACGTCCGATCTTCTCTCGGATAATTATCTTGAATTGCCTGTCCTCACATTCGGCAATCTTCGAAAACAAAATTTCCTCGGTTGTGTGTTGTCCAGCAAGCGTCCAGGTTTGCGCGTCGGCCTCGATTATCGATTATGAAATTGCACCGGATAAAGCAAACGAGAGCCTCTGCTCCACCTCTCTCTCTCTCTCTCTCTCTATGTCGACGAGCTTGCTGCTCGATAGAGTTTGTGTTGTACAGGTGCGCCGATTGACTTTCCGATTATCGGGGAGGGGGTGGACACAAACACACGCGAGTCTCCCCTCGCGACTTAAACACCCCTTTGTTCGCTTTTGCACGTAGAACGTGGCACACAGAAGGCGAGACAAGTTGCCATGCTCTTCTGTCGTGCCGTGTCCATACCTATGACGCTTCATCCGGCTCTCCGTGAGGATGGATGGTTGCCATCCATTAATTCCTTCCCCCCTTTTCTCGTGCGTTCGTCTCTGTTCATTATTGGATCTTCGCGTGTCTTCTTCTTGCTTTAATAACGTTTTGGGTTTAGCCTCTTTATTGCGATGATCGCAGCCGGTTTGTGATAAATTCTCTTATTAGAGAGGGGATTGATTGGCCATCGTGTTGTATCGGCCACGTCGTTGTTCCACGATTATACGAGAATCAGGTGAACAGGATGTGGACCAAGGTCCCCGTTTATCGATCGACTATTCGGGGCTTGGTTTGAAGTTTAATACGTTTGATACGTTCTTTCATTTTTTAAATTTCTCTTTGCAACAATTTTGGATTTTGATAAATATTAACGAAAATCATGAAACAAACTAATTCGTTGGCGAATTTATTTATATTTTTCATTGTCTGAGATTGAGATTAGAAAAGGCATGGGAAGGTAAATCAATAAGCAATAAGTTATTCTTTCAAAAATTTGCTCGTATAGGAAACATGTATAGGAAAAATGTATGAAAAAGTTGTTTAGTTATCACACTTTAACGATATATTTCACTTGTCGAAATCGGCGAAGCGTTTCCTTTTCCGAAATATAATTATCGATAAAATTTGTCGAAATGTTAATTTGTTTCTTATCTTTTGCCGATAAATGTAAATAATGAATAATTTTTTTTCTTGCAATAAAAATACTTGATAAATAAACTTAAAACAACGATAACAGTAACTTATCGCTGCTTTTAAACAAATTTTGTTATAAATTCGATTCAAAAAATACTTTAATATCGTATCAATTGTTTATTATGTTGCAAAATATTTTTTAATCCAATACATAAAAATGTTGCGTGTATTCAATTTATAAGAAGGTATTCTTTTTCTTATTTAAATTTTTTAGAAATGAAATTTTAAGAAACTGCACAGATAGTTGTTAATAGTAATTTTTCGTTAATAGTAAAATATCTTATTTTCTTATTTGCACGTTCAACTTCTCTATTTCTCTCATAAAATTCTACTTTTTACTTTGATAGAAATTTCACGATACTCTTGTTATATATCCATAAATGTTATTTGCAAGATTTAACTTAGAGAGAGAGAGAGAGAGAGAGAAAAGTAAATTATCAGGAGAAATACGACGAAGTCGTATTCGTATAATATAATATCCCTACCAAAATATCTAAGAAAGATAAGTTTTCTCTGTTCTCGCACGAACCGCTAACGAGATAAAGTTTTTCCAACCGGGATCGTTTATTCAAACAAGCTCTTATCTTACTCGATGATAACAACATGAATTTCCCTAGTAAAAATCTCATCCCGATAGGGAAAATTATCTATAAAGAGATATCGATGGAATTGCTCGATATCCTCATTTTTATCTCTTTTTCCTTTTCTTCTTTTTTTTTTTGTTCTAAAGAAATGCGATTATCGCGTCTGACGGAAGTTTCGAATTGAAAGAATATTGGTTGCAACGAAAGCATCGAAAAATTGAAGTTGAAAGTTGAAGACCTATTAATTTCTCGGAATTTTCACGAAATTATTCAAACAAGTTGGAATAGAAGAGAATAGAAAAATCGATCGATTTCACTTGTCACTCACTTGATTCGATTAGAGACGAGCAGTTCCGCTATGTTTTTTCCCAACATAGAATAGAGCGTTTCCACGAAGACCAATACCTTTGGATCCGTCCTCAAACGAGCCTCGCTGCGATGATCCGGCGCGGAGGGTAACCTCGTTGCGCCCCTCAGCGTCGAACACCTGATCGATGGCTCTGGTCTAGTGTCTCGATGGATTAGACTGAAACGAAATAGGGAAATAATCGATTATAAACTTCCTAGGATCAAGTTTTAGGATCAAAGTCAATTGAAATTGTTATTTATGATGCAAAATCAATTGTTCCGTATTCTATATTACTCTTATCGTTGGACGTGTACGTTCTTTGTAAAGAGTGGAAAATAATCAAATAATTCGTAAAAACTTATTATCGATTAAAAAGAAATATATTGGTATATTTGGAATAATAATTTAAGGTAAATAAAAAATTATTGCAGAGGAAATGGTTTGAAAATAAATAATAAAAGTTAGTTGAAATTGTAGGAAAACTAATGTATTTCAAATTATAAAATATCTGAAACTTTGTTTTAATTAAAAAAAAAATGACGGAATTAAAAAAAAATAAATTATTAATTAAAAACGATATAAAGGAATTATACTAATATTAGATAAATATTAAATATGCTGTAACTGTAATAATCAATTAATCGTTTCTTAAAACGGCTAATCATTTTTATTAAATTGTAAATTGGTTAATCTCTTCATCATTTACCAGAATAATGCAACTGTGCACGCAAATTATTTTTATCTTCAATATTCCGGATTATCGATACGTTTCATATTTTTGAAATATCTATAAAATTCACGCGAAACCATAAAATTGAAAAGATGAATGAATAGATTAAATAATCTAATCGGTTTGACCGTGTTTCAATACAATATCCGTTGAAACATTTTTCTTCTTCCACGGATTAAATCAGAAATATATTAAAATTTTTACATAAATATCATTAATTAACAGATCGTTGCTTTCATATTATTTATACATTGTCACAAATTCAATAACATTTGGTAATTTTTTTTTTTAAATATTTCACCAATACCTAAAAAGTTCATCAAACTGTATTATTATTATCCTCGATAATAATAATACAACACGAACGCGTATTTCGTATTTAAATTTATTCGTTTCCACTTTTTAAAAATTTCCGTCGTATTCGGCGATGGATGCTAATCGACCGTTTCGCTCGTGGAATTTTCTTTTAACGAGGATCGAAAACAGCAAGGGACGAGATAATGTTGCTGCGTTGGCCACGTCGCGTAAAGCGGTCGGATTGCTCCACTTGGCACGAATCATTTTTACGATTACCGATAATCCGATTGTGTCTCAAAGAAACCGGGCAAAAGAGATTCGTTCGAGGACGAAAAGAAAGAATTCCTTCATCGAAATCGCCATTGCCGGGATCTGAAATAACTGGAAGCTTTTGAGGAATGCAGCCGTTTCCAGCCTTTCAAGTCCTCTTAATCCCATTGCGTGGATCGAGATCGACGTTTCTGATATACCGGGGATGATCTTTTAAAATTTTAATATGCAATCACGATTGACAAGCGCCCGAATCCCTCTGTTTCAGGGATTTCAAATTTCTGTTAGATCGAATGCTATTTTTTTTTTTTTTTAGGATTTTAATAGAAAATGAAGAATAAGTTGAAAAATAATGCATGGAATACATTAGATATCGCTTTATCGTTAGATCAAAGCCTCAATCTTTATATATAATTTACGTTATACGAGATATTAGAAATTGTAAAATTATCGATCTCTAATGGTTTTCAATGAAGTTTTATTTAACTAAAAAAAAAAAAAAAAAAAAGAAATAATTAAAAAATTAAAAAAACCTAGCAAATCAATTAATCAATTAAGTACCAGAAAATTTGAAATCCAGGGTGATTTACGAAATTCATTTGCTAATTAATGTTCCATGCGATAAATTATTCCGATATATTCAAATTAAACAAATATCACGAGATTTAATTCTTCATCCACCAAATATTGAATCCTCAAAGAGATAATGATGGAAATAATGATCAAAATCAATCTGTATTAAAAATCAGAAATTTCTCTATTATTTTGATAATTAAAAATCTCAAGTAACTTATTCAACTTGCGAAGAAATTGTAATTAAAAATAATATTAATTACATCGAAAAACGTGCAAGTTTCTATTACGAAACTATAACTCCGCTTATCCCCGAATCTATACGTCGAAGAGAATTATCGTCGGACAACGTGTTTCGGCACGAGTTCCAGCGATACAACGTTTCTACATTAATGCGGCATTTGTTGAAATAAAACGGACGAAGGTAACAAATTTTCCGTGTCCGACCACTTTAAATCGCAACCAACCGACGAGACGAGAACGGAAAACGAACTCTTCTCTCCCCTCTCCTTCGTCAATGTTTCGAGCTTAACGTTGGAAACGCAAACACGCCTATTTCCGCTCGCAATTTGCCCGACAAAACTCGTCCTGATGTACGTGACAGGTGGCGTAATATCGCGCTGTTTGCCCGGAGAGTCCGTCCGGTTTATCGATCACTCGACTCGGCTGCAACTTCCGCGGCGAAAGGTCGATGGTCAATGATTTATCGGGCAAAGTCTCGCGGCTGGCGACGTGTTAATTCCACTCCGCTATAATGGCATCGAGCCCCGCCTGATGAACTGGGTAATAGGGTGGATGATCGAGTGAGGAGGAGATCGTAAGGAGACACGTATGGTTTGTTTGTCTGTTGTTCTCGGCTTTGTTTGTTGGGGATAATTTTGAAGAATTTTGGTGAAGTTTAGGAATTAGGAAGAAATTTAGGATTTCTTTATTCCATTCCTCTCTTCTTCGAAACTGGTTCTTGAAGCTTGAAATTTTTTTAATATCATTGAAGTGATGAAGTTGTTGGAGCAGTCGTTGTGCTTCTGTTTCAAATTGTTTGAAATTTTGTTTTATCAAGTAACTGTAATATTTAATAACGTAATTTTACACGCGACATTAATTAGATAGAAAAATTAGATAGCGAATAATCAAATAAATTATCCAATTAATGCGCCAAATTTTAATCTAATTAGAACAAGTGATGGAAATATATTCCACTTAAAAATATTCAACCTATAATAATCCTGCACAATAATTCGAAACGATGGAATATTTAAAATGAAAAAAGAAGAGAGAGAGAGAGAGAGAAAATTACTTCTCTTGCGGGCCATCTTAGCCGGAAACGCGAGAATCGCGCGGACTTGGTCGCACAGTGGTGGACCAAGCAATGGAATCGAACCGGCACGGGCGAAATCTACATCCATAATCGCCGGTATGAAATTCAAATCGAATCTTTTGTGCCGCTCGGCCCCGCCAGCCAGCGAACTTTCCACCAACTTTTCCCTTGAAAGGATGGTGGAAAGTATGCGGCGTACACTTCGCGGCCGGCATTCAGTCCGTCGCGAACTTCGAATATTTGAAATACTTGAGGCACTTCTTGCCCGGGAAATTATAGAACGCTCTTCCTTTGCGACGCCACCCCGCTGAATAGATTCGATACAATCTTCCATCGAAGGCCATTGCGATAAAAATAAGATTGTTAAATCCAGATTGAAATTCAATTTTTCGAAATTTTTCTCGAGAAATTGAGAGTACATAAAGTAGAATAGATTTCATATGAGAACGTATAATTTATTTATTTATTTATATTTCATTGCTTCTATCAAATTGCATATTTTTTTTTTTTTTGCTGTATTTTTTTCACACCATTTACCATCTCTGTGAATATTTTGCATGGAATATCATTTGAGAAGATATCATCTTTTTTACACTCGCTTCTTTAATTCTTTCAATAACATTGCTCGCTAATTTATCTTCACCATTTTGTTACGTCGCTTTTATTCAACATTCATAATATAATATATTAGGATATATAAATTACATCCTATAAATTATATCCTAATATTCGTAATATTTACGGTTTGTTAAATTCGAATATCGAGAAGATTTTATATTTATAAAATTGTAATCTAAAACGTGAATACTTCTACATGAAAATATATTTTTTCAAGAGATAATATACAACTAGTATATTATTTATATACTAGTAGTAATTAACTAGTAATATATAATTTCACATTTTTCTGAAATTTTCTTGTCATTTCAATCAAGATGATGATTATATTAAAAAAAGTTTTATTAACTATATTTGTTCGTTATTTCATTTCTTTCCTATTGTGTAAAATTAATACAATTAAACAAATATTTTAAGTGGAAACAAATATATTATACTCGAATCGTGTGTTTCTATGAATAGATAGTATTTCCAAGAAGACAGTATTCACAGTATTTGCACAATCCTAGCTAATTTTACCCCAAACAGGTCATAGCGATGCTCGTGTACCCGGAAGTTGCGCATCTGTTCAAAATACCATTAAAGATTTACGTTATAAAAATATAAAATTGTAAAAAAAAACTCTTTAAACAATTTTCAATATTATTATCTATTAAAATTAATATTATTGTTACTTGTTACTAATTCACTATAATCCAATTCACTGATCCATTTTTTATGTTAATTCTTTAACATCGTAATAAAAGTACAAAATGAATTGGAAAAAGGAGAAAAATTCGAAAAATAATTGTTCTTTTCTCAAAATTTTTTAAAATTCTGATATTAGACGGAAAAAAGTGCATTTATACATGTAAGATTTCTTACAATCAATGAATTTTAATAATTGATGCATAGCATGCATATTTTTATATACGTTTTCGATCGTATAAAAATAAATGATATTTTATAATGTTTACTAATGATCTTTCATATACGATAAAACTATAATATAAGAATTATAACACGAGAAAACACGAGAAAACTCCGTTATGAATAATATTCCTTTTTTAATATCTCTAGTCTATGATAAGAATAAATTGCTTGTTAAGAAAAGAGCTAGGTATTACTTCTATTTATATATGTTCTATATTTACAACTGAACAAGAGGCAATTTTACCTAAAAAAAAAAAAATAAAATAAAATAAAATAAAACTTTTTTATTTGTTTCGCTTTTACGATTTTAAAACAAGTTTGAAGAATTTCCAAGTATAATTAAAATTGGTTAGATTAGATACGAATGAATTGATTGTCTGATGCGAGTAAGATATGTTGGATAAATTTTTTCATTTCAAAATTAATTCTCGAGAAAACTGAATTTGAAAATTCATCGAT